ATAGGTCATTTTTGGGCAAAAAGCATGGACTATAGCCCATGGTTTTGATGGATTTTGGACCTTTTTCACACCTTTTCAAAAGTTATGCATTATTTATGAAGAATGCAAAATAGGTCGTTTTTGGCCATTTTCGGGCAAAAACTATGGACTATAGCCCATGCTTTTGATGGATTTTGGTCCATTTTCACACCTTTTCAAAAGATATACATTATTGATGAAGAATGTAAAATAGGTCATTTTTGGCCATTTTCGGGAAAAAAGCATGGAGTATAGCCCATGCTTTTGATGGATTTTTGGCCATTTTCACATCTTTGGAAAATATGCATTATTTATGAAGAATGCAAAATAGGTCATTTTTGGCCATTTTTGGGCAAAAAGCATGGACTATAGCCCATGGTTTTGATGGATATGAATATCCAATCAACTTTCTATATTCTGTCTCAGTGTGATTATGAAGCACAAAACATTTCGAGTATAGTCTCGGGAGAAACAAAAAAATAATTAGTATAGGAAATCGCACGATCTCGAGTACAATTCGGAATTAATAGGTACGAGTAATGTTTTGAAAATTTTCAAAATTGGACAAACCTTTAGGAGAGTTCAATTTGAGAACTTTCAAAACATCACGGGTATCTATAAATTCCGTATTGTATGAGAACATTGTGCGATTTTGTTTGTTTATAATACACTCGGCAAAATTTGGGATTTAATTATATACTCTCCTCTTGTCCAGTCAGAATCAAGTAATTTTTTTGAGTGTATTATAAGAATAAAAAATTGCTTCCACGGAGCCTCGACTCCAAATGTTTCATACTTGACTTGACCACTGAAGTTGGGGAAGGGCCTGGTGCCTAGCATATTGTATATTTTTCTTACTCTGTTTTTACATCTCAAAGCGGAAGCTAGTCAGCAAGTCAGACGACAGAATCACCAACAGAAAGTTATCTTACATGTATTACAGTGTTGTTGTGGAAACAAAGAGAGACATAAGCACATTAGATACGAAATATGGAGCGACTTCGTCTGTTTGGGTTTATGACTTCGTAAAATATAATAATAAGTGCTAAAAATCTGCTTGTGACTCTCTGCATTTAGTTCGTCAACAATCAACAAAGTTGTTCCTGCTTTGAACAGAAAAAGGAAAGACTCCTTCGTGGTGAGTACAGAAAATACTGACAAATCGACGCCATTGAATGTTTTAGAAGGATTTTAAAATAAATTTAGTTATCGCTTTGGTTTAACATCCACTAATGATTAAACATACCCGCTTCAATTAAAATTCATTCAAAGAAGCCAGGAGTTTTTGTTTTACGGCAAAATCCGAGACGGCTAGTCTTGGTAATATTGTTTGCTTACTGACAAAATATGCTATTTTTAGTTAAACCTTATTATTCACAGGATTATTGCCTGTCTTAAATTCAACTATTTTAGCTGTAAAGGAAATCAGAAACTCAACATTTTATTCCTGGCTAACAGAGGTTTTTAGCTGTCTGTACTAGTTGCGTGACATGTATTTATATCAAGTCGATCTGCAGGGGTCATTTGGTATAGCAACACCAATATCCTTTCCAAGTAAGAATTTTTTAAGCAGGAAAAAAAATCAATATTTCTAAAAAGGGGTGAAAGAAAGGGTTTAACGAAAATATAGGAACTACGAATTAACCAATTTCCTCCATTTTTCCGTGGTATGTCCTCTTGTTAACTACGATTTTCGTCATCTAGCCGTCAAAATGTTGTGGACTCACGAGGCGTAGCCGAACATATTTTGACGGCTAGATGACGAAAAAAGTGATAAATAAGATGACTTACCACGGAAATCTGGAGGAAATTGTTTGTTTATTTTAATCAGAGAAAAATAACGATTTTACTACGAAAACCACCTACACACTAACCAACCAAACCACACTTGCTGCTTAAAACAAGTGTGTGAGGTTACTGAGGATCAAACTATGGACCTCTTGCTTAGCAGGCAGCACTTTGACTATTTGACACTTAATTTCGCTTCTTGCTTCTTTGATGTTAAACTGTAGATCCTATTTGATGCAAGAATGTGTGATGAAGGAACGAGAGAAAAGGAAGACAAGATGAACCAGCTTGATCTAGCCTTACAGAAACTTGCTGAAACAAGAGCAGGATTTCCAGAAGATAAAACCGCCAAAGTTATCCGAGATGAGTTGGACCAGATCCTACAGGAGAGCGTTAGCGATCTCTCTACAAAATACCGTTTATTTCAAGGCGCAAAGATCCAAGAAGGAGGAAGTATGACCGATGGTACGAAGATAGGTGCTCCTGACGAGTTTGACTACCTTATTGAAGTACCTTCTCTACAAGAACAACTTGTCACCATGAAAGAAAACAAACCGTTCTTTGCAGAGGATTACTCCATGGAAATTCAATCAACAAAGTTATTTCTGAAAATCAAAGATCTTTCATTTTTGGACGACATTTTGTGCCCTGACTGGTGCGATGGAGAGAAAAACCAAACTAGAAAATCGAACCAGTTGTGTTTCAAGGATGGCAAAAGCCCATGGCGGGATCAAATCGCTTGTATGGTGTCTGTTGCGATTTATCGCTCGCTTCAAGAAACTCTAAAGAAATTCTCGAAGTGGAAACATGTTGCAAGACTGAATTGTCCAGCAGGACATACATTCCTTCAAATACTCAAGTTTAACGGTGAGGTATTTGTGTCTGTAGATATCTGTTTGGCGGTGACGATTCCTTACCACTCTACGAGCCAAGCTCCTTTGATGCTGCTGTTCGAGTTCAGTTCAATCAATACCATCAGCTGCACGAGACGATCAGACTCAGAATGGGAGAATACCGCACTAAGTCCACTTGGAGTCAACTCAGTCGAAAAGCAATGCTATAGAATTCTCAAGTATTTAACCCAAACGTTTCTGGAATCCAGCTTGGATATCTTCACGTTCGAGTACAAAGCAGTTTTAGAAACGTATACCTTGAAGACCACTTTCCTAAAGGTGTTGGATGAGAGCCAGGAAAGATGGAATGCAAATGAGTTAGGAACGAGGGTGTTAGAGATACTTTGCTTGATTCGAGATGATTTGGGACAAGTGGCAAAAGAGAAATCTGCCCACGGTCAAGTCATTCTTCATCCTCTTCAAGTGTCAATGGATTACAACTTGCACCCAGTGTCTGGTGAACCCGCCTTGTTTCGGAGATCAAAAGTTTCAAACCCAAAAGGAAAGACAGCAAATGAACCAATCTTCAAAAGACCCAAATCCATAGAAGGCCAAGTGGAAAAACTGATTAATCTTCTTCTAATGGTGAAAGACACCCAAGATGGCGGCCGTCACTTCTTCGCAATTCTTAAATCCATCGAGCAAATGAAAACTCTCTTGAAGGATGGAACTTTCCAGGAACCGATTATGGAAAGTTTAAGAGAGAGAGACAATAAAAGTGGTGTCTATAACAACTTCCTGTTGATCTGGGACGCCATTGACAGAGAAGAGTTCAAGTCGTTTTTCAGAGGTACAAAGTTTGGCATCACCGTTCAACCTGAAGGAAAGGATGACGATTGTGTCGTGTTTCCGAAGTCTTTTTCCATCTTGAACTGTTTGCAATGTCGCCTATTTGAGCAAACTGAGAATACGAAGGTAGAATTGCTGGAAATGGATGTATTCGAAACTAAACAAGTCGTCTGTTGGAATGCGAAGGAGAACGTCGATTTGTATTCGTTCGTTAAGAGCGGCAAGTGTAGCTTTTGTGACCCAACCGCCATGGACGAGTGAAACAATACATAATTATCAAATGAGGCACTGAAGAGAGACGAAACGCCATAAGGATGTAGGTATTACCATGGAAGAAGAATCTAAAAATCTAGAAAGACGGAAGGCAAAGCTTAAATTAATGTAGTTTTTTTCTTTCTAAAACATTACTTTTCTTATGAAACTAAAATTGAMTCATCAACCTTTAAAAATAATTTTATATTTTCCTTAGCTTTCGACCGACACGGTCATCCTCAGAGGAACTAAAATACGTTACAATATTAACAAAAACTACGCGATCAAACGTTGTACAGCAAAAGAATCGCGCGCACAAACCTGAAAGCAAGAGCATTGAAAATCACAAAAGATTTATGTAATTTGCTGGCAGAATTCTGCCACTGTCTCTATTAAAAATAATGTTTCTCAAGTTCTTTAGTGATCTTATTACTTTTCTTGTTTTATATATACAAAAAGTAACTTCAAATAAAATTTTATAATTCATTTATTTCTGTTTCTTTCCTTATTTCTTATTTACATATAGGAATTTAACACTATTATACAGTCACGTCAATTTTGGATTCTAAAAGTTTTATACTCCACCAATATTTAAAGTAAAAAACGCAAAACATGATATGATTTGTCATATTTAGCAACTCGCGGCTGCAATTCTTAAAAACTCTGTTTCTTTCTCGTTTCATTGACGAACTTATATAAATCAATTACTGAATTCATTTTCTGTATCAGATTCGRGTGCCAATTACTCGAAATATATACACAGTAATTTCTTGATGTAGCAGCACACATAGCTTATCTAGATACTTGGTAGTGTAATTGAAGAACCGCAGTCCGTTATGCATCGTCGTATTGAAGTCAAAACATCCGGGTCTTGAGAAAATTTATGGAAAAGCGTTGCCATGAGCAACGAGAACTCTACTCCAGTTGATGCTGGGGGGAAATCATAAAAACTGTTGGTGATTTGTAATGTCAAAAGTAGAGAAAGAGAGGAAAAAGCACTTACTTTGATTAGTGTCTTGGCTTCTGTATGATTGCAGGAGCATGCAGCACCCTTTAACGATAATCTGTAAACCAAAAACCAAATATTCAACGAAACTGTTAAATAGAATGCTGAGTGAAAAATAAAAGGCTATTTACTTCCATTGTAGCGTTTGTATTTACGGGAATTTAAAGAGTCATCAGCCAAAAGAGAATAAAATGATGAACAAGTTAAACGAGGTAAGGAATTTACCATGTTGGTTATGATGTCACATACATGGCAGAAAAAAAGAAGACGCGTGCGTACTGATGCTGAGACAGTGAAATAAAACAACTATCGCGTGCTCTGATTCATTGGTCTTCTGATTAGTTGAAGACTTTAATCAACTAACGTCTACTTTGATTGTTTGAAGACTGTAGCGTGGAACAACTTACGCATGTTCTGATTGGTTAAAATGTAGAACTTTCACGCTCTTATTGGTCAAAGACAAAATCTAAACTCTCATTGGTCGAAAAGCGCATCACGAGTATATACATACTTGATATTAAACCTAAATTGAATGATTTGCACTCATTTTCCAAAAAACAAAAAGGTGTGTTTTTGATTGGTTTATATTGTCACCTGATCATTCGTGGCGTCCAGCAACTTCAGAAACCACTGTTCGACATTGTGTGTCGTCACCAGTCCATAGTGTATGAAAGACGCGCATAAATTAGCGAGTACAGACCACGTGATCTATGACGATAAAAACGACGGGAAACTTAATTATTGATTTAAGATTGCAACGATACGATATTCAATATTGTTCTTTTCTGTATGCTCATCATGATGGAATTATTGGTCTTTTTAAGAGTTTTTTTTACGCACCTGGCGATTTTCAAGCGTAGAAAGAAGCCTTAAACGAGGGGACGATAGAAGTTGATGAAGAGGTGCTGGATGGCCATTATCTAGGAATACAACAATGAAATATAAAACAATTAGCTAATATATCGGTGGATATGGTTGGGTGGGTGGTTGGATGGGTGGTTGGATGGGTGGTTGGTTGTTTGGTTGGATGTTTGGTTGGATGTTTGGTTGGATGGGTGGCTGGATGGGTGGTTGGATGGGTGGTTGGATGGGTGGTTG